CAACAACAAAAAAAAACAAAACAAAACAACAGCAACAACAAAACAGCAAAAAAAAAAAAAACAAAAACAACAACATCAAAAAATAACCTGATGCTCCAGTTCTGACTGTGAATGCTGCCTACCAGCATGCAGAGCTGTGAGTGAGGAACAGCATTTTTTTTTTTTTTTTTTTTTAATTATTTTTGTAAGCGAGGAGGAAAAACCAAACAAGCAAAAAAGGACCTCTGATCCGAGTGCCAAAGTAGGGGAGATGTGTCACTGACCGGGCTGCGATGGTACTTGCTGCCTACTGCGTGATCGCTTGCTCTCTAAGTAAAATGAGACACAGAGCTGTTGCTGAGACGAGTGGGAACAGCACTTTGATTTGCTGGTTTAATTAAAAAAAATGATAAAGGACTGAAGGTAAGCATTCTGCATCTCTATGTATAAATATTTCGATAAGTGGCTGTAAAAGGGAGAGATCCCTTTAAAAATTGTTTTAACTGAGCTTTGTCAAACACACACTCATTTGCGGTCACTGAGGCCACCTTGGTGCAGATCACTTAAAGTGTATGTCTTAATCAGTTTCCTGTACAGTCAGTAATACTGTATTTAACAAACCTAACAATCGTGTGACTGCTAGAACTGCTTATAGGACTGTAATCTTGGGCTGATGTTTCTTAAGAAAGATCTTACTTCTTTTCTTTCTTCTTTTTTTTAAACGTGGGTTTTGATATTTTTCATTTGTGCTTACGGATTGTTTGTTTTTAATAGAAACCGTATTGTGTGAAGGAAAATGAGGTTTCTCCCTTCCCTCGACCTCCTCTCCCCTTCCCCTCCAATAAATAAATAAATAAATAAAAAGGGGCTTAAGTACAAAAGGGGTAAAAAGATAATACAGAAATAACACAAAACTTCAAGGGTCTGGTTTAAAGCCACAAAATCCATGGAATGCGATGAAGAGAGAGCCTGTGTACTTCCTTTTCTGCCTCTGGTGCCTAGGTGGTGGTCCTGGGGTTAAATTACAACATGTGCTCCCACAGCTAGGCACCAGCTCTGAGGCTGCGTTTCCTGAGCTTTGTGGATTTAAATCACCTAGCTAATGGATTTTATTTTTATTTTTTCCCTTTTTCTTTTCCTGGACGTGGCTTTTGAGGATGTTGGGAGACAAGTAGGTTAAGGATGCTCCCTGTGAAAGCATGACAGCTATTGCCTATGCTTTAACAAACTTAAGGGGGAAAAAGAAATGTGGGTAGCAAATGATTTCAGTCCCCCCGCCTTGGCCTTTTTTACTAGTTGTGTTATATTCTGGTAAGACCCAGACAAGACACGTTTGACTTTTCCTCTCCTCACAGGAAAAGGTGGATGTGGACCACAGGTTGCAAACCCAGTCACACCTGGAAAAGGAGGACCAGAAGAATTAAATCTAGAGAAGCCCAGCGGAGATAAACGAATGTCCCCACACCTCCAGAGGAAAGTTCATCGAATTTTTACTCTAGAGATCTCATCTTCAGGATGTCATTGAACACTTCCAGTACAGGAAAAGGTGTGGATCCAAACGCGGTTGACACTTACGACAGTGGCGATGATTGGGAAATCGGTGTGGGGAATTTAATAATTGATCTGGACGCTGATTTGGAGAAGGACAGACAGAAATTTGAGATGAATAATTCTACCAATACCACCAGCAGCAGCAGCACCAGCTCCAAGGATTGTGGGGCTCTGGCTTCCAGTGGGGCTAATACTACCTCAGCCTTAGCTGATGGCCTAAAATTTGCTTCTGTTCAGCCCTCCGCTCCCCAGGGGAATTCCTCTCACAAAGAGACTAGTAAATCAAAAGTGAAAAGGAGTAAAACTTCTAAGGATGCTAATAAATCTCTGCCTTCTGCTGCCTTGTATGGGATTCCTGAGATCGGCAGTGCTGGCAAGAGGCAGGAAGTCCAAGGGCGCCCTGGAGAGGCAACTGGCATGAATTCAGCACTGGGTCAAAGCGCGAGCGGTAACCCAAACGGCAATAATAACAGCACCAGCAGCACCACCGCCATTGCCTCTTGTGGGAAAAACAAGGAGGAGAAACCATGTAAAAACCAGGGCAGCCGAGGCGCCAAGCGGGATAAGGATGCGGGGAAGTCCCGGAAGGACAAGCAGCACGACGTGCACCTGGGCCCCCCCAGCGGCCCCGGGGGCGGCGGCGGTGGCCAGGGACCCCCCGGGCACCTCTATGGCTACGGGTCCAAGGGCGGCGGGGGGAGCGGCAGCCCCTTCCACTGCACCGCCGCCGCAGCCGCCGGGGAAGTTAGCAAAGGCACCCCGGATTCAGGGTTAATGGGGAACTCTATTTTGGTAAAAAAGGAAGAGGAGGAGGAAGAGAGCCACAGGCGAGTCAAGAAATTGAAGACAGAAAAGGTAGGACAAAGTTCCTCTCCTCTGCATCCCCCTGTCTGTGACGGACTGCTTCGTGGCACACCTCCGTCCTCCCCCCACCGACGGCGAGGTACCCCGCAGCCCGTCCCGCTCCCGGCGGCACCCGCCGGCCCGGCACCCCGCGCAGCGCCCGGCACACAGTGCCGGTGTCAGGCTGCGGGCGTGCGCGGGCCGTCCGCAGCGCCGCCGGGAGGCGTCGGCGGGGACGCGGGCTCCTTCCGTGGGGACGAGGGGCGCCGACGGCACGGCGTGCGCGGCGCGACGGGCCCCGACGTGCGGGGCGTGCGGCGGCGGGCGGGGCCTCCGGGCCTCACGAGGGCGGGGGGTTGGGAGAGGGGGAAGTGGGGGGCGCGCAGCTCTGCAATTCCTGCGGGTCCGGCCGCCGGTGTGCCGAGCGGTGACATGCAGGAGGGGCGCCGAGCGGAGGTGTGCGCTTTCCTTCGTCGGCGTAGCGGAGGGTGCTTCCCCGACTAATGCCCACCGTCGCGCTCTGGGGGAGGGCGGGCGCGGTGCCGGCATCCTGCCCTGCCCGCGCATTGAGGGCTCGGGCCCGCGGCTGCCGGCGGGGTGCCCGAAGCACCGGCAAGGTGAGCGGTGCCGGGTGGCCCGGACCTCTGCTGGTACCGTGTCGTCTGCTCGTGCCGCTCCCCGAGCGGCGCCGCTGGGAAAACGCGCTGACGGAGCGTCCTGCGAGTGTCGGCAGGGCCGAGGTCTCGGAGAAAGAAGTCACCTTTCCTTAGCGCCCGTCTGTGCTGCTCTCTCGTTTCGGAGGTGTTGAAGGTTTTGTAGCGTCCAAGTCGACTTTCCAGGATGGGATTTGCGTGTTTGTGACATGAGTTATCAGTAAAAATCCGAAAATATTTTTCAAGGGCTTGCATTCGAGGCAGGAAATAACGTGAATTTCTCATTGTGTGCGTGTTATTGTTTTTAATGTAGCGTATCTACGGATGAATTTGAATGAGCCTTTGTGACCTTGTCTAAACGCGAATGAGAAGAGAGGCAAACGGGTGTAATTCATATGTATACGTCTGCACTTTTATTTATGGAGGTTCTGTTCACTGTGAAAAGGTGTCACAAAGTCTCCCGCTCCCTCTATTAACTTAGTACAGTAGGCATTTGCTTTTGTTGCCAATGGTCTTCAAATTGCAGCTCTCTAATCTGTTTTAACTATCTAGATAAATTGCCCTAATCCAGTCCTCACAATGGCTGTGGTTAAGGAGTCAGAGCCGTTTGATTGGATTCAGTGGCTGCCTGGAATGTGGGAGGTACTGCCCTTTTGCAACCCCCTTAGCCTTTTAATCTTCCAGCCAAATGTTCACATTCAACAATTTTGTTTAGCTGGCAATCTGAACATTGCAGTATCTCAAAGGCTGCTGTCATGGCAACAGAGATTAGAGAGCGGTGTGGTTTCTCCCGTTTTTGTGTGCTTTTTCGCTCTCGGGTCACACGGGAGACCGCACGAAGGATACACATACGTGCCAGATGCCGCGCAGTGCAGTGCACTGTTTATCGTTATGGGTTTTTTGTTTTTGTTCTCGCCTTGGCTGGAGCTGGGTATGCATCACTTGCACAAAGCACCTTGTATCTGGAGATATATAGTTTTCAAGCCTTGCATGTTAAAAATCAATTTCCATTTATCGTCATGTTGTGAAAGGCACGTCTCATGAATTTGGATGTGTCCTACTAGACAGAAAGGAGTTAATGCCCGCTGAGTCAAAATCCAAAGGTTTTTGTATGTGGTGTGAAAGACAACGCTGCATTTGTTTACTATCTGTGAAAAGCTTGGAGCAGATTCCCAGGATTTGCAGTCACTGCTTAGTTTTCACAGCGTGCTTCAGAGTCTATTTTTGGTCTATTTATTCTGTTTCCTTGCTGCGGAAAGTTGTGTAAAACATGATAAATTGATCTTACGAAGCCTAATTAAATCAGTGACTGTGTTCTGCTAGCTTTTTTTTTTATGCACAAACCGCAAGTATGTTGTAAAAGTTGCCACTCCCCTGGTATGTGGATAAAGTCAAAGCATGCTGTAATTCTCAGATGTTTGAGCTATATTCGTGCAGCCCATTCTGTGGTTAAGCCACTGGTGACATGTCTGAATAAGTAGCTTTGACAGGTAGGCTAACCACTCCTCAGGTTCTTGGTGTTAAAACCTGTCTCCATTTTCCAGCCCTTGTCCATGCTCTGCCATTTTTAGCACAGTTACTGTCTGTCAGCAAGAACAAATCTTCCTCTTTTTAGCTCCATTTCCGTATTTCTAACAGCTGCTACATTGTTTATCTACAGCCGTTTACGTTGTGTGCGTTAGGGGAAGATCAGGGTCTGCAGCAGTCACAACTTAACTGAGATATGGGAGGGTCGTATTTGGCGTCTAGAGATCTGTGTGCTTTGATGAAGATAATACGGAAAATCTGGAGCTGCGGCCTGAGGTGCTGAGCTGCAGCTTGTAATTGAATGCTTGGTGACACTCAGGAGCGAATGTCCCTCTTGTATTGGCATATTTCTTCTCGTCTGGTTGTTTAAAGGAGATGAACGCGCTGGCTGGCGTTGTCTGTTTCGCCTTGGCGCCTTGTGGCAGGGCAGAAAGTAAGCCATGCTTCATCGGGCGGCCTTCTGATTTGTGCCCGCTGATGTAAATCATTTAAGTACACGCTTTGATTAATGATGTGACAGAGATATGCTTTTCATGTACTGTCCCGGCTGGCCTTGGATGTAGCTTATTCACTGTGAAATAAAAGGGCAAGCGGGTCACCCGCTTCAATTAAAGAACAAAGTCTATTGTTGTTTGACAGCAAACTGTTTTGAAAGCTGCACTGGGGATCTGGCTGCTGTGGAGCAATAAGGCCGGGCATCTGCAGCGGTGCGGCTGGAGCCTGCTGGGCCTGGCGGGCCGGGCGCGGGGCTGGAGGCAGCGCTGGGAGCCCGCAGCCTGGTGGGGAGCTGCTGGGAAAGCGCCTGTCTTCAGCATCGGTAATTTTACAATTTTAATAACTTCATAAATACCCAGTAAAAGGGAAGGAATTGATTATCCAGATGTCACGAGGTTAACTGTGTTCTCCGCGTTAAAGGGGCTTGCTGCAAGACTGTTTTAATTATAGCTATATAAAGACTTGTTTTTCCAAAGTAGCGTTTTATAGTCCAATAAATGAAATGTATGTTAAAAGTGCTAAGCAAAATCTCCTGTAACCGCAGAGGTGTTCAATAACCAGATCCAAGTAACATGGAAAGTACCATCTGTTCCTAGTTTCCAGCCTAAAAACAGGAACTGAATGGTTGACATTTGCTCATACTTTTGAGACTCTTTTCTTTAGTATTATTATTATTATTTTAAAAAGTTCACCTGGCACTTTATAGAAGCTTTGTGAGATGCAGTAATACAGGAGAGGCTGTGAAAACACGTGTTCGTACAGACAGTTAACCGGTTCTGCTTTCATGTAAAGAGATTTCCAGAAGCTCAGTCACTGAGGAATTCATAATAGAGATCACCTCCAGCAGGCAAACACAATAAGGGTCAGATCTTCAAAGGTCTCGCTGTTTGCTAGAACCTGAACGATGCTGTTTTTTCCCGAAAAAGTAAGAGGAAGGAGGAGGGGGAAAAAAAAAAAAAAAAAAGATGACTCTCAGAAGACAACTTTAGCAAGCTCTTATCAGCTAACTAATTATGTGTAATAAAACCATTGACAAAAGTTTTCCATGCACAGACTAGAGCTGTTGATTGCAGGAAAACTACTCTTTAAAGATAACTGGAATCCTGTGCTGTTTGGTGATAACCATTCCTGGCTGCAGCCTAAGCGCTGGATAAAACATCATCCGGCCTTTGTTTGGCCCTTTAACTGAAGCTAGTAACTGGTCTTGTGGCACCCATGATAAAGAACATTATCTGTGCCTGCTCTGACAGGAGGCAGGCAGGTCAGTGTGGGCTGTGGGCACTTCTGTGCAGTCCTGGCCAACTCACTGGCTTCACTCTGCAGCGTGCTGTGCCTTCCCACAGGGCTTGGTCTCTGGGGCATCTGCTTGTTGATGATGGTGTGAGTGAGAAGACTGAAAGACACAGGTCTTCTTGCTTGCTGAAACTCATGTTGTGGGTGTATAAGAAGCAGTGGAGTGTTTTTCAGAAGCCCTGTCCCCAGGCTTGCTGTCACTGATGTCTGTGGGAGAGCCTGGGCTGTTCTGTTAACTGGACACATGCTGTGCATGTCAAACAAACACTTTGTCCCTGACACTGCTGAAATGGTGCCAGGTGCAATGCTAACACCCTTTTCTCCCTTCTAAACTACTGGGATTGCATGTGTTCCAAAACCACACATGAGATTAAAGGCCACAAAACAGAGTCTTTGCAGCAGTAGGTCAGAATGACCTTCCTGAGCAGAGGGTGGAAAGAAATGGAGTAGGAGATCTTGGCCAATTGGCACTGAACAGCTGCCTTCAGAGTGCCCATTATGTAAAGAGACTGCATTATAATGGTTTTTGAAGCTCTCTTTGTACTTACATGCTGTGTTCCTGCGAGCCTTAGGTGGTGCTACCAGTGTGCATGGTATCTGAGCGTGTTTTACAAGCTTTGTCAGGAGAGTGTTTCTGAGAACACCTTCTCTGCTATCAGAACTACTACCTTTTTCTGCATGTTTGATAAATTCCCTATTATGGGTTTCCATCACCCACTCTTGGAGACAGATTGTCTCACTTATCTTGGTGTGTAGTTGCTGGATGTTCTGTGTTTCTCAGAACTCTGTTTTTGAATTGTCAGCTGTGTGTGGCACGATTATCCTGTGGTACACGAGTAGGACTGCTGACTAAACCATGTCTTTGTCTGTCTTGTTCTGAACTTCATATGGGGCATCAACAACCAGGTTATTCTTTACTCAACATGGCTGGTACTATGCCGACTTCACGTTGTTCTTATATAACATTCTAATGTACATTACATATGTCACTGCATTTCCTGAAAGGATAGAAAGATTATCTAACTTCTCAGTTGTGCTTTATTG